TTGACCTTAACACTGGTCGTCACCCCCAGACATGACCTTCACACTGGTTGACCTTAACACTGGTCGTCACCCCCAGACATGACCTTCACACTGGTTGACCTTAACACTGGTCGTCACCCCCAGACATGACCTTCACACTGGTTGACCTTAACACTGGTCGTCACCCCTAGACATGACCTTCACACTGGTTGACCTTAACACTGTTCGTCACCCCCAGACATGACCTTAACACTGGTTGACCTTAACACTGGTCGTCACCCCCAGACATGACCTTAACACTGGTTGACCTTAACACTGGTCGTCACCCCCAGACATGACCTTCACACTGGTTGACCTTAACACTGGTCGTCACCCCCAGACATGACCTTCACACTGGTTGACCTTAACACTGGTCGTCACCCCCAGACATGACCTTCACACTGGTTGACCTTAACACTGGTCGTCACCCCCAGACATGACCTTCACACTGGTTGACCTTAACACTGGTCGTCACCCCCAGACATGACCTTCACACTGGTTGACCTTAACACTGGTCGTCACCCCTAGACATGACCTTCACACTGGTTGACCTTAACACTGGTCGTCACCCCCAGACATGACCTTCACACTGGTTGACCTTAACACTGGTCGTCACCCCAGACATGACCTTAACACTGGTTGACCTTAACACTGGTCGTCACCCCAGACATGACCTTAACATGGTTGACCTTAACACTGGTCGTCACCCCCAGACATGACCTTAACACTGGTTGACCTTAACACTGGTCGTCACCCCCAGACATGACCTTAACACTGGTTGACCTTAACACTGGTCGTCACCCCCAGACATGACCTTAACACTGGTTGACCTTAACACTGGTCGTCACCCCTAGGCGTGCACTTCGACACCTCCCTGGCCAGCCTGACAGCCAGCGTTTCCACGGCAGTGGACGTCTTCGCCTACGCCACGGAGGAGTTCCTCAACCAGACCCGCTTCACTCCGGACAATCTCAACCCTCACCTCTCCTGCAGCGACCACAGGAACTCCAAGTGGATCCTCGGCAGCACCTTCTACAGGTACTCCACTCTCTAGGCTAGAGCTTTACCCGGTGTAACAGCCCCAAAGTACACCCCCTTCCCAGACTATACCCGGGGTTAAAGTGGGCTAGTTCAGTCTATACCCCGGGGTGCGAACTGGACTAGCCCGGAATATAAACCGGGGTATAAAACAGGCTAGCCCACTTTGACCCCGGGTATAGGTTGGAAGGAGGGGGTAAAGGAGGTTTTGTGTGCGAGGGGCTTTGACTTCCAACAAGCATGCATGAGCATGTTAGATAGGAGCGAATGGAGACAAATGGTTTTTAGGACTTGAACGTGCTGTTGGAGTGTGATCAAAGTAACATTTATGAAGGGGTTCAGGGAAACCGGCAGGTCGGACTTGAGTCCTGGAGATGGGAAGTACAGTGCCTGCACTCTGAAGGAGGGGTGTTAATGTTGCAGTTTAAAAACTGTAGTGTAAACCACCCCTCTGGCAAGACAGTGATGGAGTGAATGATGATGAAAGTTTTTCTTTTTCGGGTCACCCTGCCTTGGTGGGAGACGGCCGATGTGTTAATAAATAATAATAATAATAATAATAATAATAATAATAATAATAATAATAATAATAATTGCAGACACCTGCGTAATGTGAGCATCCCCCGTCAAGCGACCACTCTCTCCTTCAACCCAGACGGCACCAGGAAGGACGTAGAGCTGAAGATTGTCAACCTGAGGGAAGGTACCTCTAACAACAAGATATGGGAAGAGGTGAGTGAGTCTTGCTTCGTATGTGAGTTAGACCTGCCTAGCATGGGCCAGTAGGTCTGCTGCAGTGCTTCTTCTTGAGTGGGTGTGACTTGGATCTGCCTAGCATGGGTCAGTAGAGGATAAAGACTCTTGTACAGTAGTTGGATATCTACATTATCGACACATTTCGCCAGCCAGTAGCTTCTTCAGTCCAGTGCAGAGAAAAGTGGAAGCTGTTGAGTTCAAGGTAATCAGTCCCTCAGTCCATGTATTGATGTATGAACATAAGAACGGAGGAGCACTGCAGAAGGCCTACTGGCCCATACAAAAACACTTGCCCAACCCATTTTCTGTGTTATGTTGTTGTTAGAGACGATTCTGTCTATATTTCTAACTTACATAGATGTTAGAATTTTGTGTTTTAGTTCTGTAATTGACGTTAGATGTGGTTCTAAATTTTAGATTTCTAACCTAACTGGTCTTTAGATATGAACCGGTGGACACGGTTCCAAATCTAGACATCTAACCTGCGTGCTTGCCACTGTCAGATCGGCGTGTGGCGTTCGTGGGAGGACGAAGGCCTGTCCGTGAACGACATAGTGTGGCCGGGCAACGGACACGTACCTCCCCAGGGCGTCCCGGAGAAGTTCCACCTGAAGGTATGTTGTCATTACGGACAGCCGGACGGACGGTCGGGGTGGGGAACTGGGAATATTTGTCATTGCTGTTGTTAATTTTGTTATGATTACAGATAGTGTACCTGGAGGAGCCGCCGTACATCAACCTGGCACCAGCTGACCCGGTCACCAAGCAGTGTTCAGCTAACAGGGGCGTCATCTGTAAGATTCCTCCCAAGAAGACTAGCGAGTGAGTTATCTCTAGCTCACTACACTCTCTCTACCTCACTCTACGCTCTCTCTACCTCTACACTCTCCCTACCTTACTCTACACTCTCAACCTCACTTTACACTCTACCTAAGTCTACACTGTATATATAATATATATAGGTAGTCCTCACTTAACGTCGTTCCGTTCAGCGTCGTTTCGCTATAACGTTGATGAAAAAAGAAATTTCCCGCCAGGAATGGAAAATATGGAAAGAGTTGGAAATATCAGGAAGAAGCACATGCATCATGTGTGTGATTCTCCACGTTCTCTTGAGTCAATTTCCTCCCTTATGGCTGTGTTCCGTATTCATGATGTGCGGCGTCTTACAAATATTATTATTATTATTACTATTATTATTATTATTATTATTTTGTATTATATATTTATATACTGTATTTGGTAGGCCTCTCTCTCTTCCTCTCTCCCCACACTAAGTTCCCCACGTCTCCTCCCTGCAGTATGGGCAGCACCAACGCCTCAGCGTTCCCCACAACTATGTGCTGTTCAGGGTTCTGCATCGACCTGCTGGAGAAGTTCGCCAGTGACCTGGGCTTCTCCTACGAACTGATGAGAGTGGAAGATGGCAAGTGGGGGACTTTAGAGGTGAGTAGACTTGTCTTACCTCTTTGTTAGGTGGGTAGGTGTGTTACTTATGTGTTCCTTATGTGGGTAGGTGTGTTACTTATGTGTTCTTTAGGTGGGTAGGTGTTACTTATGTGTTCTTTAGGTGGGTAGGTGTGTTACTTATGTGTTCCTTAGGTGGGTAGGTGTGTTGCTTATGTGTTCTTTAGGTGGGTAGGTGTTACTTATGTGTTCCTTAGATGGGTAGGTGTGTTACTTATGTGTTCCTTTGGTGGGTAGGTGTGTTACTTATGTGTTCCTTTGGTGGGTAGGTGTGTTGCTTATGTGTTCCTTAGGTGGGTAGGTGTGTTACTTATGTGTTCCTTAGATGGGTAGGTGTGTTACTTATGTGTTCCTTTGGTGCGTAGGTGTGTTACTTATGTGTTCCTTAGGTGGGTAGGTGAGTTGCTTGTGTGTTCTTTAGGTGGGTAGGTGTGTTACTTATGTGTTCCATAGGTGGGTAGGTGTGTTACTTATGTGTTCCTTAGGTGGTAGGTGAGTTGCTTATGTGTTCTTTAGGTGGGTAGGTGTGTTACTTATGTGTTCCTTGGGTGGGTAGGTGTGTTACTTATGTGTTCCTTTGGTGGGTAGGTGTGTTACTTATGTGTTCCTTTGGTGGGTAGGTGTGTTGCTTATGTGTTCCTTAGGTGGGTAGGTGTGTTGCTTATGTGTTCCTTAGGTGGATAGGTGTGTTACTTATGTGTTCCTTAGGTGGGTAGGTGTGTTACTTATGTGTTCCTTAGGTTGGTAGGTGTGTTACTTATGTGTTTCTTAGGTTGGTAGGTGTGTTACTTATGTGTTCCTTAGGTGGGTAGGTGTGTTACTTATGTGTTCCTTTGGTGGGTAGGTGTGTTGCTTATGTGTTCTTTAGGAGGGTAGGTGTTACTTATGTGTTCCTTAGGTGGGTAGGTGTGTTACTTATGTGTTCCTTTGGTGGGTAGGTGTGTTACTTATGTGTTCCTTAGATGTGTAGGTGTGTTACCTATGTGTTCCTTACGTGGGTAGGTGTGTTGCTTATGTGTTCTTTAGGTGGGTAGGTGTTACTTATGTGTTCCTTAGGTGAGTAGGTGTGTTACTTATGTGTTCCTTAGGTGGGTAGGTGTTTTCCTTATGTGTTCTTTAGGTGGGTAGGTGTTACTTATGTGTTCCTTAGGTGGGTAGGTGTGTTACTTATGTGTTCCTTAGGTGGGTAGGTGTGTTACTTATGTGTTCCTTTGGTGGGTAGGTGAGTTGCTTATGTGTTCCTTAGGTGGGTAGGAGGGTTACTTATGTGTTCCTTAGGTGGGTAGGTGTGTTACTTATGTGTTCCTTAGGTGGGTAGGTGTGTTGTTTATATGTTCCTTAGATGGGTAGGTGTGTTACTTATGTGTTCCTTAGGTGGGTAGGTGTGTTACTTATGTGTTCCTTAGGTGGGTAGGTGTGTTGTTTATGTGTTCCTTAGATGGGTAGGTGTGTTACTTATGTGTTCCTTAGGTGGGTAGGTGTGTTACTTATGTGTTCCTTAGATGGGTAGGTGTGTTACTTATGTGTTCCTTAGGTGGGTAGGAGTGTTACTTATGTGTTCCTTAGGTGGGTAGGTGTGTTACTTATGTGTTCCTTAGGTGGGTAGGTGTGTTGTTTATGTGTTCCTTAGGTGGGTAGGTGTGTTACTTATGTGTTCCTTAGGTGGGTAGGTGTGTTGCTTATGTGTTCCTTAGGTGGGTAGGTGTGTTGCTTATGTGTTCCTTAGGTGGGTAGGTGTGTTACTTATGTGTTCCTTAGGTGGGTAGGTGTGTTACTTATGTGTTCCTTAGGTGGGTAGGTGTGTTACTTATGTGTTCCTTAGGTGGGTAGGTGTGTTGCTTATGTGTTCCTTAGGTGGGTAGGTGTGTTACTTATGTGTTCCTTAGGTGGGTAGGTGTGTTACTTATGTGTTCCTTAGGTGGGTAGGTGTGTTACTTATGTGTTCCTTAGGTGGGTAGGTGTGTTACTTATGTGTTCCTTTGGTGGGTAGGTGTGTTGCTTATGTGTTCCTTTGGTGGGTAGGTGTGTTGCTTATGTGTTCCTTTGGTGGGTAGGTGTGTTGCTTATGTGTTCCTTTGGTGGGTAGGTGTGTTGCTTATGTGTTCCTTAGGTGGGTAGGTGTGTTACTTATGTGTTCCTTAGGTGGGTAGGTGTGTTACTTATGTGTTCCTTAGGTGGGTAGGTGTGTTACTTATGTGTTCCTTAGGTGGGTAGGTGTGTTACTTATGTGTTCCTTAGGTGGGTAGGTGTGTTACTTATGTGTTCCTTTGGTGGGTAGGTGTGTTGCTTATGTGTTCCTTTGGTGGGTAGGTGTGTTGCTTATGTGTTCCTTTGGTGGGTAGGTGTGTTGCTTATGTGTTCCTTAGGTGGGTAGGTGTGTTGCTTATGTGTTCCTTAGGTGGGTAGGTGTGTTGCTTATGTGTTCCTTAGGTGGGTAGGTGTGTTGCTTATGTGTTCCTTTGGTGGGTAGGTGTGTTGCTTATGTGTTCCTTAGGTGGGTAGGTGTGTTGCTTATGTGTTCCTTAGGTGGGTAGGTGTGTTGCTTATGTGTTCCTTTGGTGGGTAGGTGTGTTGCTTATGTGTTCCTTTGGTGGGTAGGTGTGTTGCTTATGTGTTCCTTAGGTGGGTAGGTGTGTTGCTTATGTGTTCCTTTGGTGGGTAGGTGTGTTGCTTATGTGTTCCTTTGGTGGGTAGGTGTGTTGCTTATGTGTTCCTTTGGTGGGTAGGTGTGTTGCTTATGTGTTCCTTTGGTGGGTAGGTGTGTTGCTTATGTGTTCCTTTGGTGGGTAGGTGTGTTGCTTATGTGTTCCTTAGGTGGGTAGGTGTGTTGCTTATGTGTTCCTTTGGTGGGTAGGTGTGTTGCTTATGTGTTCCTTTGGTGGGTAGGTGTGTTGCTTATGTGTTCCTTAGGTGGGTAGGTGTGTTGCTTATGTGTTCCTTTGGTGGGTAGGTGTGTTGCTTATGTGTTCCTTTGGTGGGTAGGTGTGTTGCTTATGTGTTCCTTTGGTGGGTAGGTGTGTTGCTTATGTGTTCCTTAGGTGGGTAGGTGTGTTGCTTATGTGTTCCTTTGGTGGGTAGGTGTGTTGCTTATGTGTTCCTTTGGTGGGTAGGTGTGTTGCTTATGTGTTCCTTAGGTGGGTAGGTGTGTTGCTTATGTGTTCCTTTGGTGGTAGGTGTGTTACTTATGTGTTCCTTAGGTGAGTAGGTTTGTTCCCTGTGTGTTTCCTAGGTGGGTAAGCGTTCTCTGTGTGTTCCCTGTTCCTTAGGTGGGTAGGTGTTCTCTGTGAGTTTCTTAGGTGGATAGGTGTTCCCTGTGTGCTCCTTAGGTGGGTAGGTGTGTTCCCTATGTGTTTCTTAGATGGGTAAGTGCTCACTGTGTGCTCCTGTTCCTTAGGTGGGTAGGGGTTCCCTGTTCCTTAGGTGGGTAGGTGTTCCCTGTGTGTTCCTTAGGTGAGCATGTGTGTAACTTATGTGTTCCTTAGGTGGGTATGTGTGTTCCCTTTGTGTTTCATAGATGGGTAAGTGTTCCCTGTGTGTTCCCTGTTCCTTAGGTGGGTATATGTTCCCTGTGTGTTCCTTGGGTGGGTAGGTGTTCTTTCTGTGCTCCTTATGTGGGTAGGTGTGCTTCTTTTGTGATTATTAGGTGGGTAGGTGTTCCCTGTGTGTTCCTTAGGTGGATAGGCGTTTCCTATGTGTTCCTAAGATGGGTATGTGTTCCTTGTGTGTTCCCTGTTCATTAGGTGGGTAGGTATTCCCTCTGTGTTCCTTTGGTGGGTAGGTGTGCTACTTATGTGTTTCTTATGTGGATAGGTGTGTTCCCTTTGTGGCCCTTAGGTGTTTAGGTGTTCCTTATGTGTTCCTCGAGGTGGGGTTCCTTCAAGGTGGGTAAGACGTCTTAGGGTTCTTTAGGTTAGGGTCTTCAGTGGGGTCTCTGTCAAAATTTTCGTGTAGTTCCTGATGAGCCAGGTTGTGGTGCACACCTCTTAAATTCTTGCGGCCAGTACCAACAGCCTGGTTCATCAGACCAGCCAGAGGGAGGCCTGGTCTGCGTCTGTTGACGCGAGCTGACAGATAACGGGCCGTTAACGGGTTACGGAAAGGCCGTTGCGTTGATGGGTGTAGTTGATGTGAAGGCAGGGTGATAGCAGGGAAGTATGACCTGATTGATGTGAAGGCAGGGTGATAGCAGGGAAGTATGACCTGATTGTTGTGAAGGCAGGGTGATAGCAGGGAAGTATGACCTGATTGTTGTGAAGGCAGGGTGATAGCAGGGAAGTATGACCTGATTGATGTGAAGGCAGGGTGATAGCAGGGAAGTATGACCTGATTGATGTGAAGGCAGGGTGATAGCAGGGAAGTATGACCTGATTGATGTGAAGGCAGGGTGATAGCAGGGAAGTATGACCTGATTGTTGTGAAGGCAGGGTGATAGCAGGGAAGTATGACCTGATTGATGTGAAGGCAGGGTGATAGCAGGGAAGTATGACCTGATTGATGTGAAGGCAGGGTGATAGCAGGGAAGTATGACCTGATTGTTGTGAAGGCAGGGTGATAGCAGGGAAGTATGACCTGATTGTTGTGAAGGCAGGGTGATAGCAGGGAAGTATGACCTGATTGATGTGAAGGCAGGGTGATAGCAGGGAAGTATGACCTGATTGATGTGAAGGCAGGGTGATAGCAGGGAAGTATGACCTGATTGATGTGAAGGCAGGGTGATAGCAGGGAAGTATGACCTGATTGATGTGAAGGCAGGGTGATAGCAGGGAAGTATGACCTGATTGATGTGAAGCAGGGTGATAGCAGGGAAGTATGACCTGATTGATGTGAAGGCAGGGTGATAGCAGGGAAGTATGACCTGATTGTTGTGAAGGCAGGGTGATAGCAGGGAAGTATGACCTGATTGATGTGAAGGCAGGGTGATAGCAGGGAAGTATGACCTGATTGATGTGAAGGCAGGGTGATAGCAGGGAAGTATGACC